CCCCTAGGGTTTATGCCTCTCTGCCTTTGGAACATCTTGCTTCTTTGTCCAAACTATAAAGGTGTTAAATAACCCTGTATATTCAAGATCAACATGGGCTTAGAAAAGTCTTCTTGCATTTTGGTATTGCCAGCCTTGTCTTAAACACTGGTACCAGGGATGTCACATATATAAAATGGCTCCTTTCTATAAAATGAATTCTACTGAAAGTTGCTTCTCCAGCAAGCCAGTTTAGCTCAGCATCCTTTCAGCTAAAGCCCATCAGCCTAAAACCCTGTGCACTGATAGTACGTTTGTAGAGACAGAACTGCCCACACACCTTCTGTTATGAATATGACCTCAGAGAAATGAACCAACCACAAACACTGTAATGTGATCATGCAAGACAAAGTCTGAATCTGCTCTGCTCTCTCTCTGCCGTCACTTATATAGTCAGAAAAAAAACAGTAAACAGAAAAAAAAAAAAAGTAGTGTAGTGAGTAGCTCCAGACAGACCTTAAGACAATGGATCTGCTTTTGGCCAGGCCTGTTTTTCATTTGTTCTCAAAGATCTGTCCTTCTCAATGCATATCTCCATGCTGGAACAGCCCACCTGACTGCTGGAGGCTCAGGGCTGTGTGCTTTAACAGAAAGGCCTTGGATTTGCAAAGCAGCTCTAGCTGTGCAATGCTGCCCTGAGGAACAGAGTGTCTTCCCGACCTCAGAGTCGATCACTTTATTCCCTGGAGCCTGAAGATGCCCTAGAGTTTTTTGTTGCAGTCAATATAATTATAAATGTTATTGCTATTCGAGGAACTTGCACAAGAAAAGATGCTCCTCCTATATGCTCCCTGACCAGCATCTTGATTGGATGCACCATTAGTGAAAAGCCAGATTTCTCTACTGAACAAATTCAGATACATAGGAGGCTGTAAGAAACTGTTTGTGATTTTCTCTCTGGGCAAACTGTAAATGGTCTGTGGGCACTGGCAGACCTGGTAAGAAAAGGTCGTGTTGGTTTGCAGATCATCATGAACATAATGATTGCTGTGTTTGTTATTTGGAGAAGGAACAAACAAGAGTAGAGCTACTATATAGGCAGGGCTCTCTCAAATACCCTGCAGGGCCCCAGGTTTGGCACAGGGTTTCCCTACTACACCTTGCGTGGCATGGGAGTTGTGAATGATGAAGCTGTGTTATCCAACCCAGCTGCCAATCCTCTGGAAAGGGATGCCAGCCCATCTTTGTACTGGCAAGACTTCATCCTGCATTGTATAAACACAGAAGTGCATAATCAGACCTCAAAGCAAGACACAGCTTGTCCAACCTTTCATCCATGCTGGAAGCAGCAATGCTCTGACAGCTCCACAGCACAGAGCCCCGGATGCTGGAGATCTGAGACAGCCACCAAACTGGTGGAGCGGATGGCCTGGCAGCAGATAAAACGCCGACTCCTTATCTATTGCCCACACCATCTGGGAACCTCTCTCCTTGCCTTTCCAACCCTAATTATTTTTACTGCTTGATCTCAAGAGGTGTTTACGGCATGAACCACAACCAGACAAGTCTGCTGTTTCTTGCCCTCTTGCTGGCAGCTGGATTTCAGCCCCTTTATTACCATCTTCACTTGTGAATCAGATGATTGCTCATGTGATCCCAGAGTATTAGTCCTGCTTGCATCATTGCAAACATTTGGACATTCCAATTTTAAGGGGATTATATGCAAAGCAGAAGAGACATCAACTGTGCCTTTAATGCTTTCCCCTGGTCTCTCATTTCCCTGGGGACAACTCCTTTATCTCAGGGCACCTTGAAGAGAAATCAGCAATTCAACTGTACTATTTTTTTGGCCTTTAATTTCAGATACTTATTCCTGTTTGATCACGTCATGCAGCAACTCATGGAAAAAGAATGAAATTGCTCCCTGTTTCAGGTGCCAATTTCTTGCTAAAGCAAAAGCAGGCTGCACTCTTGTTTGCTCTACCCTTATTTTACTCATTCCTTCAACCTGTCAGTCTTAAGGTCTGTCCCTCTGAAATACAGACTTCAAGCTATTTTAGCAGTGAGTTCACAGGTTCTAACCTGCTTTAGCTTTAATCTCATGCTGAAATCCAACAGATGGGCTTCATTGTAAGAAAGAGTAGAAGAGTAAGTCTAGAAGGCAACTTGGGCCTGGCTCTCCAAGCATCCTTCCTGCAGGCCAGATCCTTGGGAGCAGATCTTTTCTTATGTTGGTGATGCAGAAATAAAGCTGTAGATCCATGTTATAATAATTAATCCTAAACTAATAATCTATAGTTAATAAATCTGGTATACTAAGTACAGATCTGCTCAAACTTGCCTTCAGCCCAAACTGCAGACAAGCATGGAGTCCAGCCATATTCCATCCAACCACATCCTTCAGGGATGGTGATCTGCAAATGCTGAAACCTTGTGTCCACTGAGTCCAAGAAGGTGGCTTTGAATGTTTCAGTGTGAGTCTTAATGTGCAGAGGGAAGGTAGAGGTGTGGGTACATAGTGCTGGGCTGGGATGATGCTTGTGACATATGCTCTGCTCTGTGAGAGAAGCTTAGCCAAGTACAAACCCCATCAAAACTCTTTGCTGAATCAGGGTCTCAATACTGGAAAAAAACCAAGTTTGTTAATTACTGCTGCTACTGATAAATCTTTAAGTGAAGTGAAAATTATAAGGCAAGTAATTTATTTTATGTGCAGATTGTATCTATTTTAATGAGTTCCAAAAATAGAGCTTTAAAGCGGTGGCTTTAAGCTCTGACGTTGCACAGGGTTTTTTCCGTGTGAAATTTTCCAGGGTGCTTAGTGAAGCTTTCCTTCCATAGAGATACAGAATTTTTTTTGTGTGTTGCTGTGCACTGATGTGTACCCATGGGTTGAACCTCACTTGACTGGCCAATCAAGAACTTGGGATGTTTATCATGGTTCTTTTGATTCAAGCCTACATCCTGCATTGCTTGAAAAAGGGATTGTGTCAGAGTGCAGAGGCACCTGTAGGATCTGAGGCAATTCCACCCCCATCACCAGTTTTTGTGCTCTTGAATAGGAGACATACTGCCTCAATGGGCATGGAGATATTCAGCCTCAGAGACAGAGCCACTGCTGCCATGACCCGGCAAGAGAAAACAGCTGTGCAGTTGGAAGGTTGCTTTACTACGTATTGGTGGAAGCTTTGATTCAGGTTTGGTCCTCAAGAGCTGGCGTTACCCTTCTGGAATCAAAGCTCTGGTTGTTGGCAGAGACTGTAGGCGATTTCCTTGGGGCCAGGGGAAGGGGGAAGGGATGCTGTGAGAACACAGACTGCTCTATCTGCACGGTGTCTGGGGATTTCTGGATGGGCATTCCCTGTGCAACTTCATTAATATAATCAAGGCCAGGACTTATTTAGTGCTCATCCAGTCACTGCAAAGGGACTGATTACAGCTTGCTCTCCTGGGGCACCATTTCAGTCTGGGACTTGATGGTGGAGTATAAATAGCATGGCAGCTTCACCGAGGAGGTATTCCTATGTGACAAAGAAGTTAAAGCCCATGTCGAGGCCTTGCTAATTACTCAAATTATTGCTACTGTTAACAGGGCAGCAAATTATGTCAGGGAGCCTTTTAGTAGTCATACTACTCCTGCTACAAATGACATAGTCCTGGATTAATGTTGACAAAGATAATAACAAGGGGACACATTAATAAAATCAGGATGCTGAGAATAAACACCAAATTAAAAGCAAACAGCACCTGAAATATTGACTTTGGCAAAATAAAGTGATTCTAAGAGGAAGAGGAAAATGTTACAGAGAGATCAGGAATGGAATTATGTGCAGGGTAACTTCTGCCATATCGAAAAGAAAGTTCAGCCCTGGCCACATGCAGACAAGTTCTGGTGTGCACCAATTCAGTTGCAAAAGTTCTCTCATAGAGACAGAGTCTATGGGAGGTGAAGGAGAAGAGATCCCAAAAGAAAGATCTCAAGACTTGATGGCTGGAAATACCCTCTCTTGATGATACTGGAATACTAAATATCACCAGCCCATCTATTTCACCTTATTGGATGGAATTCTCCTTGTGTTTTCAATGGATCCGATGGATCAGGACAGTGACAAAGATATTTAGTAACAGTAATACAATCATTCCTCTTTGGAGGAGCAGGATGGTTTCCCCATTTTCTAGTCTTGTAACTGGGATTGAGGGATGAGGAGAGCTCTGCCTGGGAAAACGAGGTCAGAGACAAAAACAGGAACCATGCCTGTCAAACTCTAGCACTTCTTTTTCATGGGACAGCCACTTGCTTCTCAGTGATCAGCCAATGATACGTTTAGGCTGGTGTACCCACTACAAAGGGCCTGGCTGATTTATCTTTTACTGCAATAAAATCAGGACTAAACAATAGCAACAACAATAAAATCTGACTTGTATTAGCTCCAATCCAAGTAGAGATTCAACTTATGTTTGCAGTTTCCCCTCTCTTAGCACTGAAAGGACTGAATTTCCATGTCTCATCCCAGGAAGTCTGCACAAGTGATGAATCCTCTCTTTCCAATTCCCATCACTGCTGGTGCCACAACGTTTCTCTTAATTACACTGTTGTCTTTTTTCTATCTTATGTAATCAGAGATTCCTAATATAAAAGATATCAACAGTAATTTCATCCCCATACATATAAATCTGTAGTCAGATACACAGAAACATAGAATATCCAAAGTTGGAAGGGACCTATAAGGATCACAGAGTCCAACTCTGGGCTCCACGCAGGACAACCCAAAATTCAAATGTATGCCTGAGAGCAGTGTACAAATGCTGTTCCTTCAGGTCCTGTTGCTGTCAACAGAGAGAAGTGATCAGCACTTGCCCCTCTATTCCCCTCATGAGAAAGTTGTTGGCTGCCATGTCTGAATGGTATCCAAAATATCAAATCAGGGAACGGCTGTGGCCAGGTTGGGGGAAAATGTAAATAAGGGTATGTTGTTTATTTTGGTAGAAAGCTGAACAGGAAAAGGGAGGTATAGGAGTACCTGGAAGGCTTTGGGAAGACAAGGTCCAGGCAAGGCTGACTGCTGGATAGCCCTAGTGGGCATGCAGAGTACGATGCAGGTTCTGGATGGAATGCTGTGGGGCTGGACAGGCTTCACCACGGTGACAGCACTGAGCAACAGGTTTTGATGTCACAAAGTCATGGTGTATGAAATCACCTCATGATCCTCTACTGCAACACCCAGAGCAGCAGCACCAGAGAGGGGAGCAGCTCTTCAGCTGCCCCCAGCTCACTGCAGTGTGAAGAACATGGCCATGGAGGCAAGTTCCATCTGACACAACATGAGATCTGTTGTGGTCTACGTGATTCCCAGTAACCACATATTCTACCTCAGCTGCATCCTCCAGTGAACCAGGATGAAACTCAGCTGCTTGCTCTGTCAGAGGCTTACGAGTTCCATCAAATCTTCAGTGCAGGTAGATGACTCCCAGCATTTTGAGAATATTGCTAAAACAACTTGAGTTGAGTGTGCAGTAGGAAATATGATCTTACACTTGACCACATCTAGCTTGACCACATGTATGTGAGTAGTAAATACAAGTAAACCAACATGGATTGGGAAAATGGCCCCTTTGCAAACACTGCAAATTCTAGCTCCAGGAGAAACAGATTTGTCTCTTCAGTAATGCTCAGGGAGGTATATGGTAAGATAGACTGAACTGATATAAAAATCAGGTATAAGTGCAGGTTGCTTTGTGTTGCTCCCACACAGTCCTGTAGTGTCACAGCTGGGATATATCAGAGCCTGAGCTATCACATGACAGTGAATTCTACTACCAAATCAAGGTGAAAGGGTTTCTTCCATTAAGAAATGCCTTTATCAGCATTAATCAGGTGAGAAGACAGTCTTTATTTGTTTTGTGCCATCCAAAGACTTGGATCTGGGCTACCAAAGATATATGAACATGCTGCCCTAAAGACACTATGACCTGAAGCACAAGTGGAACATAGATGCATAAGGGATCCAGAGGCTGGGAGAGCCTTTTCGCAAACTTGCTACTTTAAGGACTCCAACATTTATTTATCTATCTATTTATTTATTTTTAGGAATTGGAAAGCAGGGACTTCTGGTTTTGATTTATCCCAAATATAGACACGCTCTACATGAAATCCAACTTAGTGCCATGGGCTGTATGTTCCCATCCTCTGATAGGTGACCTCCTCCCAAGATCCAGTAGTTACAAATATATTCTTAAGAGTTAAAGTATGAATAACTCAGAGGCTGATGTTTGTAGGTATTCCTTTGGTGTGTGCTGGGGGGATTGGCACCATGATGATATTCTTGTGTAAGAACTCACTTCTAATAACCTGTGTTCTATTTTATAAATCCTCTACCAAATGGTGATTTTTGGTCTCTCTGGAAGCATTGGAATCTATAATCTCATTAGCCAGTAGCAGGCTGTGTTTTTGTCTACCTACATGGCAACCTGAAAGCATTTGGAAAACTGCTGTTTGTAAAGAGGAAAATGAATAGAAGGAAAAAGCTGATATTATCCATTTCCGGATGGTATTCTCAGTTCTCTGCTAGTTTTCCACGGATTCCTTTTTAATTGGGATATTAAAATGCACCACACATCTCTTTGCTTCCTAAACCAGTGCAATCAACAGCCGAAACAATCCTCACAGCAAAGACCAGTGGCTTTGCAATAATTAGCAACAGAGTCTTGCAGAAGATGCAACAGTCCACTGCTTGCAGTAACCTTATTTTAACTTACTTAATCTTCTTAGTGAGGTGTAGATTACATTACCTCAAACCAACCTTGAAAGCTCCTAATCAGCCACATCAATAACACGAACATTGCAGACAATTCATTGCTCTGGTCTTAGTAAGCTCTGTAGTAGCAAATTAACGTGGCACAGCTGGTGCTTTCAAAAGCCTTACATTTGAAGTAACTGATACAGATTTGGTGTCCCTGCTGGGTTGAGAGGAGATGTCTGTTCATGCCCACGACTAGAGAGTCTGATATTATCAACACTGATGTCATTGCTGGAAGTTCATTTTTAGCTCTTACTTTAAACAAATCCAAGCACTGGTGTTACTTGTTTGTAGTAAATTTAAGAGGCTTCATAGCAATGAGATTGAAAGATTGCTTGGGCCTCCTGGGAATACACCTCATATACAACAAGCATATGTAAGGAATTGCTAGGATAAAACATTTATTTCATTATCACAACTTCATTTTAAGTGGGCATATGCAGCAAAAAGGAAAAATTTCCCATTCCCCGTTTTTGTCCTGACAAATCATGGGAGCATCTTCCTTAATGTTAATGAGGCTCTATGGACCTTGAACAGCCAACCTCTAAAAAAAACCAAAATACATTTGGAGGCTGTTACCTCTCTTAAACTGAGGTTGATTTTCTATAACTGAAAATGACATTGTGTTGTTCCTCTGTATGACACTGCAATGTCCCACATAAAGGGAAGGATAATGAAAGGTGATAAAATCTGTGCTCAGATGCTACCTAACTTGTAAATCTATTCAAGCAGCAAATATTTCATTTGAAACCACGCTTTAGAAGGGACTTTCCATTCTAAATAACTTCCAAGGCCTATAATGAAACCAGAGATAATTGGACCTTGCCAGGCTATTTCTTTTGATAAGAGAAATTGATATGAAACACACAGCCTTGGATCTTGGATCCATTCTGCCTCAATCAGGCATTCTATCCCCCAGATGTGAAATGCAGTCCTCATCAAATAAAGGTTCAAATTTCCCTCAAGAGGCAGTGGAGCAGGGCCCCTCCTGAGACCTTTGTATGTAGCACCCTCCAAATAGATGAATTCCTCTTCCAGTTTTAACCCCTTGCCATCTGTTATGGACACTGGTTGTGATATGAGAGATCCTTCTCTACTCCCTCGGAAGATGGATTTTCCCTTGGCCATGAAGAAAGAATTTTGAATATAGCAAGATGTTAAGAAGGAGTTTTGCCTTTAATTTGGAAACACAGTAGACAGACCTGTGTTGTATTCCAGACTTTGGTCCTTTGAATACATATTAGATCATCACTAAATTGGATTTTAATGACAGCAGGTGGTTATCTGCAGCTCAGCAGACCTCCTTTTCTGCTGCTCCAGTGAGTTCTGTGTTGACACAGCCTTATCTCATTGCAAGCTTTTCTCTGGCTTTTTCTTCTCAACACTAAAATGTGAAATGGTATTCAAGTCTCATGTTTGCATCTGGGAGACCCTGTTGTGTTCTGTGGGTACCTCTGGTGTTTATGGCATAGGGAGGTTGGACTGTTTCCTTGTGCGACCTGACGTGAGGGCTGGGTAGAAAAAAATCCCTTTCAGAGAGAATGTCGAGGGTTTAGATTTAGATCCTGTTGTTTTTCTGCTGGAAATGAAACTTATGAAACCTCTGGCCCTTCCTACAGGAGTTTAGAGAGGAGGAGTCCCCAGGTCAGCACTGCAAGGCCTGTCTGTGCTTTCAGCTAATCCTCAGGCCCTAATCCCCCGTCACTCTCCTTCCTACTGCCTGTCCTGGGAAACCTCCTGAGGAGATTTTTGTCAAAACAAGCATACACTGACAAATTCTGGCCTTGACAACCTGCCATTTCTGACAGCACATCCCATGGTGACTCCTGCTCAACTCTAGTCAGCCTGCTTTGACAGTGTCTGTGGGGAACTGGCAGGGAAATGTCTCCACGCAGTTATTAGCAACTTCTGGTCCAATACAGAGAGCAGTCATCTACGTCCCAGACATCTCTGCATGCTGTGTGGCAGGGCACTGCATTCCCCAGGCACAGTGCCTTGTCTCACAGGCCCTGCTACCAGCCACTGTGCCACCAGAAAAGGGGAGGACAGGAGTAGCTAAATGTCCATCTTCAAATGTCTCCTGCCCTTGGAGACACCAATGGTCGGGCTGGACAGGCCTCTGAGCACCCTGCTCTAGCTGTAGGTGCCCCTATTCATTGCAGGGGAGTTGAACTAGATGGCCTTTAAGGGTTCCTTCCAACTCAAATGATCCTATGATTCTATGAAATCAAGGGACTACAGACACTGAGCTGAAGACTTCCCACCCTATCCAAGCAGCACATGCTGGATGTCTGGCATGCAGCAGGAAAGCCAAACTACTTCTCTTGTGCTTTGGGCAAAGCTGGACCTCTAAATAAATTAAAAAATAGAGCAATGACTCAATGACCAAGTAGAGGAAGAAGCAAGCTTTTGTATCCCTGCAGAAGAGCTGGCAAAGGCAGGGATGGTCCAGCTGGGCTTTAGCCTTCACATATGCTGAAGAGGCACTGTCTGCAAACAAACTCTGGTCTCTTTTAGATAGATGTTCCTTTATCAGAATTGCCTTTTATTTTAGGGTATAATTCTGGCATAAGCAGCTTGATCACTGATTTTTCACTGAGTCCTCCCAAAATGTGGTTTCTAACTCATTTCCCTTTACTTACTGCCATCTAGTGAAGCTTGCTGGAAAAACAATTAAGACTTCACTCAAAAAAACCCACCACCAACAACAAACAGACACAAAAAAACAAAAACAAAACAAACAACAACAAACAAAAACACAACCCAAACAAAACCAACCAAAGAAATTAAACCAAACCCAGCCCAACCAATCAACCAACCAACCAACCAACCAACCAAATAATAATAATCCAGATTAAAATGAGGAACATTTCTTTTAGGCAACAGTTGTTTCAGACAACTCCTGAGTGTAAAGCAGTGAGAAAGAGAGATGGGAAGATGCTTTGTTCACATCTGAAACTTTAAAGTTTCTGAAAATTTTAGCAACTCTGAAGAGAAGATTTTAGATCAATGAGTGGTTTTACCCTGCATGATTTTAGCTTGTGTGATCATCTGTGGGCATCCTACCAGTATAAGGAACATCAGGTTGGACATTAGGAAGTAATTCTTTTCTTAGAGAGTGGTCAGCCACTGGAAGGGGCTGCCCAGGGAGGTGATGGAGTCACCGACCCTGGAGGTGTTCAAGAAATGTTTAGATGTTGTATAGAGGGACATGGTGTAGTGGGAGCTATTGGTGAGAGGTGAACAGTTGCACTGTATGATCTTGGTGGTCTTTTCCAACCTTGTTGATTCTAAGGAGGTCCTGGGCAGCTG